CGCAAAACGTCAACGTTACTCTCCTTGAAGGAATCGCAGATAATTAGGTGGAGCGTGTGGGCAAGGCAGGGTATGCTCCGCCACGCGGTAAGTCTAATGGCAGCAATGACATTAGCTGCGTTATCGGACGCAACTGCGCAAATTTTCTGACTGATATTCCAATCAGTTACTGAATCTATTNTACAATGCAATAAAACACTTACCATCGTTTCTTACCGATGTTGTTTGCGATAACTCAATTGATGGATGCTTAACAAGGAGATGCTTTCGTAAATTGGATGTACCTCCACCTAATTATTGTAATATATTTATTGTAAATAATTTTAGTTATTAAATAATGAGCAAATATATAGGCATACCTTTGTAAGACAGAGTAGTTTTACAAAAATCGCATTTTGCCCTTACTGCATCCACCGCTGTAAAGTGCTGCCATAATCCGCTCCGTTTACCTTCGTTTTCTGCAATTAAATATTTGTAGCATGTAATTTCTAAGCTAATATTGTAAAAATACTTACTCAAACGCGACGCCATTTCGAACGTTAATGTATAATATTCAAACGTAGATTTTCTTTGAAAAGAGAGTTACCACAGCTATTGCGAATTTGAAAAAGTCTAACAACGTTGCCGCAAGAACTATAGCGGTTGGTAGGACTGTTGCGATAAGTACAAGAAAGGGATGAGTGTTTGTGATGGCAGTATTGTCGAGATGCGGTTGCCGTACATATTATGCTTGTTAATATTTTACGAAAACATCGTCTGATTTGTACATTCTGGGTCTTTTTGGCAACATCATATAAAACAGCTTTGAAATAAATTCTTTTCAAAATTTAAATATATATTATAGCGAAGGTTTCATGTATCGAATCGGTATCGGGTACCGAAAAGGAAGTATTGGGTACCGAAATTTTTTGCAAGTATTGGGTACCGACAATTCAGCACATCACTATTAAACTCCTTTAGTCTGGATCCCTGTGGGGGAACATTTTGTAAATTACCTATGTAATTTCCCTGTTTAAAATTTAATTAGATTTTTTAAACAGGGGCAACACTCTCACAGTTAAGAAGCAATTCGACTGATACCTGTGGCAACTCTTTTCAAAAGGTAAAACCTCATTGCACATCTGCAACCAAGCCTTTTAATTTGACACCTCATTTTTGAAAATCGAGCGAAGGATCCCCATCCCATGATGGTATTGATTTATAAATAATTTCAACTTGATTTTTTAAAAGATGCACTTTTTTTCCGGAAAAGTAGAAGCCTACTGCACATGTCAAGACCTTTAATTTGATACCTCATTTTTGAAAATCAAACGAAGGGTTCAGATCTGATTACCTGGACAAAAAGTCCTTTCGCGTAATATATATATAGATATAGTTAAATTCGACTTTTTAAACCGGTGGCAGCCCTTTTGGAAAGTAGTTTCGCGCTAAGATATTCTTAAATATTCTTCGTCTAACATTGCGATACATATTTTAATCAACTGATGAATTAAGTTGAATTATATTAATTAAACATGTGGCAACACCTCTCTTTTGAAAATCGGACGAACGGTGTGGATCTGATAGCATTGATTATTAAATTATTTGAAGACAATTTTTTATCAGGTGCAACTCTTTTCGAAAAAGTAAAAACTTACTGCACATCTACAGACCAAGCGCTTTAATCTGACATCTCATTTTTGAAAATCGGGCGAACGGTACAGATCTGTTATCCTGCACAAAAAATCCCTTCGCGTATTATATATAGATAGTGAGAATTTCAATTAGTTATCATTGAAAATAAAGTAGTTTATAAATTTCATCCAAACTAAATAAATTTCCTGCACGGTACAAACAACAACATCGCTGCAGCGCTGTGGGCTTTATTTTGATGTTCTGATGGTTGATTTAACGGGAGTAATTTGACTTTGATCCCTGGTGCCCCCGAATAACTCGGCTCCAGCGCCACTAAAAATTATCATTAAAATCGTTTCGGTCGTTTAGGAGGAGTTAAGCCACCAGAATAAGTCTTTTACATACTGACACTCTTCGGCATTTTTCCCCATACAAAAAAACTCGCGCATTCGTTAAGGAGGAAATGCGCAACATCATCAGAGAAAAAAAATCTCAAAAATCAACGGCGTCTTATAGCCATTAAAAACTTGCACTTTATGATACTGAAATTGAGTGAACTACAAAACTGCATACTCAAAATTTGGTGCCATTTGATGCAAAATTAACTATATTTCTATAAATAATTAACAAAAAATGTATTATGAAAAAGAAAAATACACTGTATTCTGGGTGTATATATTTACAGATAGTTAAAAGTTCGAATATGTTTGCAAAGTGCCACGTCCCCTTTTCCAGTAGCCCCAAAATGTCTATACCAATTTCCAGGACACTACCCCAGATACTTTCAGAGATATACGGTATGAAAAATTCGATACGTATGGGTGATGCCACGCTCCCTTAATATATCGGAAGTCTGCAGTAGGTGTCCAAAATTTCAAAAAATCGCTACAGCCGTTCGCGAGATCACCTCTAATAAAAAGAGGGAGCTTCTCTTTATATAATTAGTGTAGGTAACACAGGGCAACACCGATTTTGATGCGGTAAATGTTAAAGCTGTTTTTGATGGGCTTTTTTGTGCTGATTAAGAATCCGTAAGTAGAAAGTTTCCATCAGCTCCAGATTTTGAGAAAAATGTGGTGAAAGTGTCAAAAAATCGCGTTTTTTTGCAATATTTGATAAGCTCTATCAATGAAACAAAAGGTGGTAGAACCTTTCACTTNATCCAAACTAAATAAATTTCCTGCACGGTACAAACAACAACATCGCTGCAGCGCTGTGGGCTTTATTTTGATGTTCTGATGGTTGATTTAACGGGAGTAATTTGACTTTGATCCCTGGTGCCCCCGAATAACTCGGCTCCAGCGCCACTAAAAATTATCATTAAAATCGTTTCGGTCGTTTAGGAGGAGTTAAGCCACCAGAATAAGTCTTTTACATACTGACACTCTTCGGCATTTTTCCCCATACAAAAAAACTCGCGCATTCGTTAAGGAGGAAATGCGCAACATCATCAGAGAAAAAAAATCTCAAAAATCAACGGCGTCTTATAGCCATTAAAAACTTGCACTTTATGATACTGAAATTGAGTGAACTACAAAACTGCATACTCAAAATTTGGTGCCATTTGATGCAAAATTAACTATATTTCTATAAATAATTAACAAAAAATGTATTATGAAAAAGAAAAATACACTGTATTCTGGGTGTATATATTTACAGATAGTTAAAAGTTCGAATATGTTTGCAAAGTGCCACGTCCCCTTTTCCAGTAGCCCCAAAATGTCTATACCAATTTCCAGGACACTACCCCAGATACTTTCAGAGATATACGGTATGAAAAATTCGATACGTATGGGTGATGCCACGCTCCCTTAATATATCGGAAGTCTGCAGTAGGTGTCCAAAATTTCAAAAAATCGCTACAGCCGTTCGCGAGATCACCTCTAATAAAAAGAGGGAGCTTCTCTTTATATAATTAGTGTAGGTAACACAGGGCAACACCGATTTTGATGCGGTAAATGTTAAAGCTGTTTTTGATGGGCTTTTTTGTGCTGATTAAGAATCCGTAAGTAGAAAGTTTCCATCAGCTCCAGATTTTGAGAAAAATGTGGTGAAAGTGTCAAAAAATCGCGTTTTTTTGCAATATTTGATAAGCTCTATCAATGAAACAAAAGGTGGTAGAACCTTTCACTTAGGCTTAAATTAAGGTTTCGACTTCTGACTTCAATCCCTGGAAATACCATTCCTGAACCTTGACCCTAAGGTTAGCTATAGTCATTTATTGAACAGCTAACACTGATTTTTACACCGTTTTTGACGATAAAAAGTAAATGAGTATAGGTGACCATTAAGGCAAGGTGCAGGAATAGTACTTTCAGGGATGGTAGTCTGTCGTTCTAGCTTTAACATAAGCCTACGTGGAAGGTTCTATCACCTTTTGCTTAATTGCGGTAGGAACTCAAACTTCCCAAAATCAGTTATTCCTGTTTAACAAATGACTATAAGTGACCATCAAGCAAAGGTGCGGGAACTTGCAAGGATAGTATTCGAGATTTTAACTTTAATCAAAGCCTAAGTGGAAGGTTCTACCACCTTTTGTTTCTTTGCTAGAGCTTCTCAAATATTGAAAAAAAACGCGATTTTTTGAAACTTTGACCTCGTTTTTCTTAAAATCTGGAGCTGATGGAAACTTTATGCTTACGTATTCGTAATCAGCACACAAAAATTCGGCAAAAATAGGCTTAACATTTGCTGCATTAACTTTTTTCCCATTTTCGTTGGCTTGTGTAATAAGTATGGTTAAATAGCCAATACCCGCATGTTTGCGTAGCCTTCAAACACCTTTCGAACTATAAAACAATGACTCGATCTATAATACGGGTATCGAGTTTCAAGCAAATCGGACCATAAATAAGATTTTTTGGAATTGATCGGTATCTGGTCCACCTTTCAGAAAAAATATCCTATATGCTAACCCAGCCAATAAGTTACCTACGTGCCAAAGCAAAGAGACAAAAATGAATCCTATATGCTAATCTAGGCAAAAGGCTGCCAACTGGTTCGTTGCATTTTTTAGCGTAGCTCGACCCCTGGGCTACCTATCGGAAAAAATAAAATTTTTTTGCACTCCTTGTTATAAACAGCTTTCCAAAAAAGCAGGTCCCATTCGAATCGGTTATGAAACATAGGACCAAATTGGTTCCAATTGATTCAAGCTCCCAATGAATTTCACAACTATCCGAAATTTTCCAAGCTTTCGTCGAAAAAATTCAAATTTTTCGCATTCTTCTGCATTTTTCCGAGTTTTCCGCTTAGAATTTTCTATTTTTCCATTCGAATGCCATTCCGAAGGAATTGCGCACAAAATTCCATAAAAAAAAAAAAACAATTTTCGATTTTTCCAATTTTCCGTTTTCCGGGTTTCCCCAAAACTTTCTTTCGTAAACACCTTCTCCTGGCAATTACGAACAACTAAAAAAAAGTTTAGCCAAATCGGCCCAACCGTTCTCAATTGATAAATTACTATAAATTTTTCACACCATTTTTATATACATATATAGATAAGGAACGGCTGTTCGTAGACGGCGGTTTCCGATTGAATTTCAGTTTTTTTTTGCAAAAGTATACATACATATGTATCTTTTCATGTCATAAATATATCGATGGTCCTCTACAATAACGACACAATTCAAAATTCAAAAAATATAAACTCGTACTATTGTTAAGTGGCTCTTTAATCGTTGTCTTATTCATGTATAATCTTTACTACTTAACCTTTTTAACAGTAATAAGGGATATGATTTTTTGAATTTTGAGTTGTGTCGTTATTGCAGAGGACCATCGATATGCGAATTCATATATTTCGATAGTGAAATAAATTCGAGCATAAATACGATTTTTAGTTACATATACATATGTAACTAAATTTCAGCGCCACCTGGCAGCAAATTTTTTCCGAAAGGATTCTTTTTCCTGTTATCAATAAATGTATATTTTGAATCTGAGGATAATCGGACCATAAACACGATTTTTAGTAATAACTCGACTCCAACGCCACCTGGCGGCTCTTTTTTTTTGCAAAGGTATTGTTTTTCCTATTGGCAATATACACCGCGAATATGAGACGAATCGGACCATAAATACGTGTTTTACTAATAACTCGACTCCTGCGCCACCTAGAACGTGGCCCGCTCGATCGCCAGACCTGAATCCATTAGATTTTTTCTACTGGGGCTGTCTTAAGGACAAAATTTATTCAAAAACAATTCAAAACGAAGAGCATTTGCGGGAACAAATAAATGGAGCTGCTGCTGAGATAGCCCAATTGAGTTTAAGATCTCTAAAAGCGTCTTTTCTTAAAAGGTGCCGAGCTTGTATTAGAGTAGAAGGTCGCCAATTTGAGCATATTTTATCAATAAATGAATAAATTTTTCTTCAAACAACTCATGTATATCTTATTTCACGTGAACCCATCCTTCACACAAAATATTGATAGATATAGCCCTTGTTATAGACTCTAGTCCGAATTCCGGTAAGTAACATAAAATAATGTCAGAAGCAAGTAATTATGTACCTTTGTACTATTTAGCATGTCATTTGACGGTAACAAGAGCAAATTCAATTTAAATCTATTAAATACATTCTAGCGTGTCTCAGTCCTTTACCCACAAAAGCGGCTATAACTTTTTTTTTCTATTCAAAACAGTAAGTGTGGCACCTTTCTGAAATCTTTATTAAATGAGCAATTTTTTTATGTAATGTAAAGTTATAGCTCAGTACATTTTTTTTTCACCCGAGATAGTCAAAGTTGGGGAAGAAAATATCAAAAAGTTAAAAATCCAGAAATAGTCCTAATTTTATGATGGTTCCTTAATATATTTTAACTACATTGCATTTGAGTATGGAGAGGCAACTATCTGGAAGTATTTTACATAAAAAATTTACTAAGTATTGCCCGGTTTGTAGTTGCAGTTAAAGAAAACACATGAAAAGGCAAGACTTTTTTTAAATTCGAAAAAATGTAAATATTTCAAAAACGGTGACACTNTAAACTCGTACTATTGTTAAGTGGCTCTTTAATCGTTGTCTTATTCATGTATAATCTTTACTACTTAACCTTTTTAACAGTAATAAGGGATATGATTTTTTGAATTTTGAGTTGTGTCGTTATTGCAGAGGACCATCGATATGCGAATTCATATATTTCGATAGTGAAATAAATTCGAGCATAAATACGATTTTTAGTTACATATACATATGTAACTAAATTTCAGCGCCACCTGGCAGCAAATTTTTTCCGAAAGGATTCTTTTTCCTGTTATCAATANAAGTTTGGCACGTTACTTCTGGGACACCCTGTATAAAGAAGATATGCAATCGTGCAGAGACAATTTACATATAAAATTAAGTTGCTCGATTTGAAACTTTGCACAAATATTTCAGATTTAAGAATCATTCGATATATTTACATATGTACATACATATTTGCATGGAAAGAGTTTACAAAAAAAAAAATATCAGAACCAATAACTTACTAAACAATTTTTTATTATAGCTTAAAATTATTGCAACCAATAGAGGCCGCGGCCGCTGTGGTGTAGCGGAAAAGAAGTCCGCGCTTCCACTCCGCAGCGCCTGGGTTCAAGCCCCGGTCAAAGCAACATCGCAAAAAAAAGGTAGAAAAAAGGTTTTTTCTTAACAACGGTCACCCATCGGCAGGCAATGGCAAATCTCCGCATGAATTTCTGCCATGAAAAACAAGCTTCTCATAAAAATACAATCACCGTTCGGAGTCGGCGTAAACCTGTAGGCCCCTCCGCTTTGTGTGACAACATCAAGGCGCACACCACAAACCGGAGGAGAAGCTCGGCCAAACATTAACATATGTGTATCTAAGCGCCAATGTATTATTATTATTATTATTATTATTATTATTATTAATAGAGGTAAAAAGAGTTGTACAAAAACACATAAACAGAACTTCACAATACCCTGCAAACCAAAGTTCCGAAATCTTAACGAAATCTTTAGAAGTTTCTCATTTCTGTAACGATTTTTTTACTAATCTTCAAGGAAAATTGTATGAAGTGGTTGACACGAACTCGTTAAGAAATTTCTGTACGAAAAACAAAGCAAATTCTGCAAGAAATTCTTCACATTTTATTTATTTTCACTGCTTTACCGATTTTCTTCCGAAATTTTATAAAACAATCGAAGTGCGCACAGTTTATTTAATTTTAGAAAAATTGCCAAAAAATTGGATGAGATTTTTACGAATTCTTTAAAATTTCATCATTGCATCGAAAGCTTAGCCCCGTCAGTGTGAGATATTAACCCAAACTAAACTTCCTAACGTCATGTACCGTTCCCCTCCCGGTACCACCGTCAAGGTTTTCGTGGGGATTATAACATAGTCACACCGTGTTATAGATCTATTCTCTTCTTCTTATTTGTCGTTGTAACCGCCACAGCGATTTTGGTCGAGTTCAACAAAGCATCATAAAATAAATGTACCTAAATGAGACAGATTGTACCTAAAAAAAGTTACATCATTCATTTGTAGTTTTTTTTTTTATTTTTTTTATAATAGGAATACAAATGACAGATTTACTTTAAACATGATTAGGTTTTTTTTAACTGGGCCTATATCTATATACTATAGTCTAATGGGAGTCGTAGAAGCGTTGTTTTTGTCTACTGAAAATATTAGCGAAAAAACAAAAAACAAACTTTAAAAACATACAATTTAAAACATATTTCTTTATCCAGCTTTTTATAAAACAACAGGAAAAGTTTGCTAATTAATCCGATTCCTTTTAATAGGTGCAGCAAGTCTAGAGAAAATAATCAAATTGCCGTAAGTAACTTCGAAAGCATTTTAAATATATGTATGTATTTTCAGAAATCAAAATGCGAATATGGGTCAAATAGCTATAGCTCTCATCTAAAGAAAATATGAAATTTGAAGACATCCTAGACACTGGACTGTATGGGCAAATAAAGGCTGGTTTTCATTATGTCATATTTTGACAACAAAATTTGTCGACATATTTTGACACAACTTTCTTTCCTTTATATCTACCTTTACCGATGGTATTATGGGCCAAAAACTTAAAAATATCCGCTTTAGCAGTTCATATACACGCCTGAAGGCCTATTCTGATCTAAGTCAATCAAAAGATCATTTCTTAGTCCCGTTTGACAATTTGTTTTCACTCATTTGACCGTAAATGCCATTGAATCAATAGAAAAAAAAATACGAATTTTAGGATAGCTAAGTAAAGTGAGGAGAAGCTCGGCCAGACACTAACATATGTGTAAGCGCCAATCTATTATTATTATTATTATTAAGTAAAGTGTTAATTTTTCGTAGTGGCTGCTCTAAATTCAATGTAAAATGTTACAGATAATACATAATATTACTTTTTTATTTTCTTCCTATTGACGACTTTTCTATATAATTGTTTATTCTTCAAAATGAAAGCGAAGCTCTTCCCGTGCCTATATGTAAACATATTAGCACGGTAAAGGAAAAAAAAACTAACAATGCATCAAAAGATGATTGTTCCTAAAATCTAGTGACTGTACCTAATGTACCTTTAAGTCATCAAACGTCGGAAAAAGGTACAATTGTACCTATTTTTACATCCCTGATTCGCTGCACTATGTCCATGTCATTGTAAAGCTCATACAACTCATCGTTCCATCGTCTACGGTACTCGCCGTCGCCAATGCGTAAATGCGAGTAAAATCTTTCTCTCGAATACTCCAAGAGCCACCTCATCGAATGTTGTCATTGTTCATGCTTCTGCACCATATACCAGCACGGGCATGATGAGCGACTTACAGATTGTGGTTTTCGTACGTCGAGAGAGGACTTTACTCCTGAATTGCCTACTCAGTCCAAAGTAGTACTTGTTGGCAAGGTGATTCTGCTTTGGATTTCCATGCTGATATTATTATCGGTGTTAATGCTGGTTCCCAAGTAAACGAAATTCTCTGCTTTCTCGAAATCGTAACTGTCAACAGTGACATGGGTGCCAAGGCGCGAATGTGCTGATTGTTTGTTTGATGACAGGAGATACGTCTTGTCCTCGTCTACCACCAGACTCATTCGCTTTGCTTTCCTGTCCAACTTGGAAAAGGCAGTTTTTCTTACCGATGATGTCAGTCACATCGGCATAAGCCAGCAAGTGTACGCTCTTGTAGTAAATTGCTCCTAAGCGGTTCAGTTCTGCAGCTCTTATTATATTCTCCAACATCACATTAAAGAAGTCACATGAAAGGGAGTCGGCCTGTCTGAAACCTCGTTTGGTGGTTTTCGGCTCGGAGAGATCTTTCCGAATTCTAATGGGGCTGGTGGTATTGCTCAACGTCATTTTAAACAGCCGTATCAAGGCGTCGCCTATCTTGTGGATTGTGCAGAGCGCACTTGAATTCCAGTCGTCGGGCATGCACCTTATTAGCTCCTTTCCATCGTAATTAAATAGCTCAGCTGACAGGCCGTCAGCTCAAGCAGCTTTGTTACTTTTCATCAGCATAATCACTATTCGTACCTCGTCATGGTCAGGCGCTGGGATATCGACTCCATCGTCATCGACTGGGGACTCGGGTTCCCCCCATAATATGAGTACGGTCTATTTTTCATAAAAAGCGGCCCCAAGCTAAATAAAATTGTTTGATTAATTTTGAATGCTATCAACCTAGCCGTTAAAACAGAACCAAACACCCCTTAGAATTTCCACAAGATCAGGCCTAGGATCTTTAGGCCCAAACGAACTTACGATGGTATGCATTTTGATGCTAATAATAGAAAGGGTATAAAAATAATAATAAAATACAGGAAAATACATTCATAATTATTATAGTATTCAATATTACTTTAAATTTTACTAGAAATTAAGAAATTGCAAAACATCGGAAATCATCGATATATCGATGTTTCTCTGGCGATGTATTTTAGCCTCGATGTTCTTTTCTCCGATGCATCGAAACATCGATGTATCGATGTTACTGCTCAAAATTTGCATCCCTTCTTCTCACTCTGAAACTCAGTGTTGCCAACTTTGAATTTCAAAAAGCACCAAACCTTGGAAAAAAGAGCGTTTTACCGCACTAAAAGCATTAAATTTTTTTTTTATCAAAGGATACTTTCTTTTATAACAGTTTGTAGTAAACAAAAGTGAAAAAATAAACAATATTTACTTGTGTAAATAAATACACATTCATGCTTACGAAGTAATACCGAAGTACTGTACATTAAAACTGGTACATCTGAAGAAAGAGCAATCGAATCACAACAAACGAAATTGAATTTTGAAGGGGAAGAGTAATACTTAATGATACCCTAAGTAGAAATGAGCGAAAAAATTTGTTGTTTTATAATAAACCGTGTTTTTACACTTAGAGGTTAGGATATCTCAAAATTCGGACGTGGTAGAGAAATTCTGCAGCCAGATTTGGATTCAGCACCGAAAACTCTAAAAACCGATGAACTCAGGTGGCAAAAAGAGTTAAAATTTTTCGGACTGTGTAATCAATCAATAATCAAGAAAATAAAAAGTAAACACTTTTTTTTTGGTTGTAGAGTTGATAATGGCCTGACAAGTAAACACTTAACTTATCTGCGTGCTAGCATTTTCAACGCGAATACAATTTAACAAGAACGCAAGAACGTGGGTTTGCAACTTCATCTTTTTATCAATCGTGGTTGCATTTTAGTGCATTTAAATTTGTCGATTCTTGTAAATTCAGAAATTTTAGTGCAGAAAAAAGCACTAAAAAGGGCACTAGGCACTAAACCATTTTTTTTTGGCGTTTTAATTTTCAAAAAGCACTAAATTTAGTGCTTAAAGCACCAAGTTGGCAACTATGCTGAAACTTCACAAGACTTTGGCATGCAATTTTTACACATTATGAGACGTTAATATGTGTGACAATTAATTATGCATAAATTTCTCAAAGGTGCTCNCTTCACAAGACTTTGGCATGCAATTTTTACACATTATGAAACGTTAATATGTGTGACAATTAATTATGCATAAATTTCTCAAAGGTGCTCCTTTTTTTAGTTATTACAGCCTTTTAGTTGCTAGGCTTTTAAATTCAATATATCTGTTTTAATGAGAAATTTTGTTCTTTTTTCAGATTCGCATACTATAAGGAAAAGTTTCCTGCATGGCAGAACTCCATTAGGCACAATTTGAGCCTAAACGATTGCTTTATTAAAGTTCCACGCGAACCAGGAAATCCGGGTAAGGGTAACTTCTGGACATTGGACCCATTAGCCGAAGACATGTTTGACAACGGAAGCTTCCTAAGGAGACGAAAGAGATACAAACGTCCACCCGCTATGCAGAGATTTCCATTTCCTGCGGTTTTTGGGTCTATTTCGCCATTTTGGATTCGAAAACCTGTGCCTTTAGTGCCAGTTCATTTTAATGTCGCAAATTTCACAGGCAATCGTGATTGCTTCGATATGTTGCATGCGCCGACTGATGTTTTCGATGCGGCGCGGAGAGAAGAGAAAAAGTTCAACTTCTTTGCAGGTGCAGATGTTCTTTCATATCAGAACAACGACAAATTCGACAACATAGTCTGTCAGAATGCCTCGTTTATGAGAAAAAACACAAACGTTCTCGGTGTGATGGACGATAAGCAAGACAACACCCAGGATAAATACAGCAGACTGCATTCTTCTGTTGGATCGGCGGCCAGTTTCATAGAAGAACAGAATATCGATTGCAGCAACTTACTCCAATACAAAGATTCTAACATCTTCAATGAAAGCGATGATTTGTCGTGTGATAGAATTGACGTCGAAAGCTCCAATGATCATGACTCCCACATATCAGACTCAATTGATAGTGTATGTACAAATAATAGATTAGATCCGCAATTAGACGCTGAAGACGTCGTTAAAGGGAATAAGGGTGATGCAAAAAGATCATCTTCATACATTTTATTATTTGATAATTCAGAAATTTCGAATTGTTCAAACGATCGACAAAAGGGTAACAATAACTTTGTGGGTTTAAAAGATACATCGAAGGTAAAGTATAATGATGATGAAACCCACAAACAAACAATAATTCCCTTCGAGTACGATCATGTCAGAACAACAAAGCACAACAATGCGAAAGATTTTCGCATAGAGGCATTAATTGGAAATGTGGACGAGACCAACGGTTAGAAATGAAATTCATGTAAATTGCGTTCACAATTTTTGTGAATGAAGAAATGTAAATTTGTATACATTATTGAATGTTTGCTATGATGAACTTCAACCACAAATATGATCAAATATGCGGTAACTTTTAAAATGTATGTATATTTCTTAAACTTGGTATTCTGTAAATGTGAGAATCGCAAATCTAATTAATGTGTTATGTAAATTGTATGAGTAGCTTATGAGTATGAAGAAGAAATTTATAAATAAACCATCTATCCAGTTTTAAAAAAAGCGATATTTAATAATTTAATTGTACTATGAATTTTAGTTTGAGGTAGACAATAAAACAAGGAAAATTCCATAGATGCGCGACAAGAGAAGAGATGCGACGAAAACAGCGTCATTGCAACAATGCAATGGCCAAAAGTCATTTTTTAAAGTAACAATAGATCAATTTCTTTTATCCCTTCACTAAGCTAATTCTCTAGAGAAAAAAAGGGCACACTCATTATTTGCTTAAACAGTTTTTCCGTTGGGATATCCGCTGTTAAAACTTACATTTCTATAAAAAGTTTAAAGACGAAGATGGAAATCTGGTACTCGACGCCCAGAGCACCCTTGTGATAAGTTGGGTACACTTTTCAGCGCTTTTGAATAGAAGCACAGCCGGCGTGTTTGACGAAGAATTGACGCTGAGCAATGTATTGGCAGCAGCTCACGTCCCTCTACTATTCTTCTTTCGAAGTCAGTATTCTTGTACTTCGAATTGGAATAAGTAAGTCTTAGAGTGAGAAATATACTTCAAATAAAAGGAGAATGGAAATGAATAACGAAGGTAATATTTGTGTGATTAACAAAAAATAAAATTAGCATTTAGCTTGCTAAATGAAATAAAACTTATTGTCAAAATGGACTCTAATTTAGGTTATGATATTCCACTTTAAGTAAAGTAAAATTGGTTTCATTTGCTGGTCTTCAAGCTTTGTGGGCAATAACAATATTTAATTAAATTTTGTGGGCTGAGAATCATGTTGCACTTTTTGGATAATGAGCTTTTTTCTTAGAAAACTTTCACGTGTTTTTTGCGTGCTTTTTGATGTTTGAAAAGAAAGATGCAACAAAAACTGCTGTTTTAAACATTTTGCTGCAAAATATTATTAAAGGGAGCACATCCGAAGAATATAACAACTACATAACGATAACGTCAAATTGGATCCGCCATATGGAATTTAAAAAATTTGATATCAGATTCGAAATAAGAGGACTCGAAAACTCCTTATTTATATGAGCTTATGGTGAAAAGGAAAAAATTATAAAATTTGTTCGCCATATTGATTCGCCATTTTTAATTCCAAAAGTATTGCATCGGGCCCCGCTTATATATATGTTTTTGGTGAAAGGGAAAAAATTATAAAATTTGGTCGCCGTATTGGAACCGCCATTTTAAATCTGAAAAATCGAACATCATATTCGAAATCAGCGACTTCAAAAACCATCAAATCAATTTGGTTACTTCTCTACTAGTCGCCAGGACATAGTGCAAAGTAGATTTGGCGATATTCGATTATTTGAATCAGACGGTTGCATTAGGTGCGTTTCCCAACTTTTCTGGGTTAAAACCTGTAAAACTGTCACAAAGCAAAAGAAGCCGGAGAACTGAGTACGGGAACGCTTTCTGCTAAAGTCCTATAAATTCTTGCGAGTTAGAGAACGCAACTACTCTGTAACGAGCTAGCGAGAATTTTCGTATCGATATCGCAGCTTAGCAGCAACATTCGTCGCATAGATCGCCGCTAGGATTGTCCATAAATATGTTCTTCAATTTATGTACTATAACCTGTAATTGGCCTTTTTGAATCGTTGTGGAAATTTTCATTGCTATTTTATAAAGGAAATTTAGAAGAGAATGGAAGTTCAAAACGAAATCTGTCAAGCTTTTATAATTAGGTTTTGACGTACATAATTAATTCAAGAAATTTTCCACACTTTAAGAGACAACTTAATTGCTAAAGTGAAAACCTTAACAACATATGTACAAGTAGATATAATGCAGCGGATCAATACAGGAGCTCCGCTGCGTCGGCCATGTTGTACGAATAGTCAGAAACGCAATGCTGGAGCAAGAAAATGTGAAAAGTGGTGGACATGGCTTCACTTGGCATTTTTAATTAGCGCCAGTTGGCGCAGAAAAGAAACAACGAATGCTGTATTGCAGTCGGCCAAAATCGCATAGGCGGTTATGAAGAGAATTTTTCCTCCGCTGAAGGATACTCCTTTCATTCTGATCTCGATACGATGAAAGAAAATCGTGAGTGATATTAGCAGCGATGCGCTAATTACCAATTGTTTTTAATCAATTCAAAATATTTCGTGTCAAATTAATATGTGAATCAGTTTAATTTTTCGATCAAAAGGTCATATAATGTATACGTTATTTCGACCTCAAGTGCCAGATTGACAGGTCTAGACTTTAATTTAAGGTAAGTATTTATATTCTTTGGAAATTTTGTGTGCCTACTTGGACTCTAAACAAAAGGTACTAGTAATATCATAAGTGGCTGGACCTTTTTGTAGGCAAAGCATTTTAATTTTCCTTGTTTCCAACATCAGAACTTGCCTCAAAAGTTATATGTATTGACCCGTAAGAACAGGGCAGAGCAAATACGAGACATCTGATAATGCTAAAGCCCAAACACACATTAACGTTTTGTAAAATATATAGTAGAGTTGGGCCCTTTAGTTATTTTGAGTGAACCGTTCAGTTGTAAAAAGTTCGCTCCCCTTAGTGAACTAGTTATTTAGTTCATTCAGTTCATTTAGTTCAATTCACGAATTATCATATTATTATTATATACATTACATAAAAAACTAACACTTTGGTAATTTAAATTCACAGAATACATTACAAACATAAAAAACGCGCACAAATATTGTTAGGAAAATAAATCACATAGAAATTATGCAGTCTTTATCAATCGACGGCACACATGCAGTAATGTAAAATCTTCTTAGCACTATTGTTATTACACAAACTATTATATGTAACTAACATATGTAGCATATTTTATTTTAACATCGCACAGAGGATATTTGCATAGTAAAACCGGTCAAAATTATTTTATGTTTATACTCAGTAATAAAATAAAACATGAAACTTAATCATAATTAGGGATTTATAGGATAAAAATTACTAATTACACTATCTTAGGATCATTTTCGTGAAATATTTTGTTATATTCAGTCCACAAAGAACTTTTTCAGAAAAAGCCAAGAACGGAATTCGTTTTTCTAGAACATATTTAGGTCGACAAGTTCGGATATGCACTTCGTTCTTTCAGACTGGCTCTTGATTGCGAATAACTGCGAATTGTGAAAATATTTTCGTTCCTAAAGTTTTGATGCTTTTTCGATTTCAATTAGATAAATAACTTAAAAATAATTAAAAAAAAGAATGTGGTAAATTGTTCTAAGGACACCATCGTTCTCGCCGAAGCCAATTAATAAGTACTAGAGTGCCAGTTACTGTCGAAATTCGACAGTTTTTCTAGTTTTGGAAGCCTTGGAGAGGTTTTCTAACTTAACACGTAGCAATACTTATACGGTACAAATTAACTAACCGGAAAATCTTCTGCTAACACGTAACTAATTTTCTTTTTTATCTGAGAAGGTCATTGGAGGACTTCGGCAGGACTTGGAATTGACCCGATACATTCAAGTTTATCGATAATTTCAATGATTTGATACATATCGATAGTTCGATGAATTTCAAGAACAGTAAAATTCGATAACTCAACAAAATTCGTTAATCGACCAATTTCGATAACTGTGAAATTCGATGGCTCGATAAATTTCGATAACTCAAATATGTAAAAACTTTGGATAACTTTATAAATTTTTATTTTGACATCTCCACATTTCTCGAAAACTATCTAAACATTTTGATAACTCGTTACACTCTGTTAAGACGATTAAATTCGATAAGCAGTGATAAATCGATAAGCTTATATAACGTTGAAATTTCGATAAATCGATATATTTTGAAAATTCCATAAAATTTGCTTTGTTGAACCAACCATTTCAGTAGATCAATAATTATAATTATGCATTACGACACCTCGATATATTTCGTTAAGTCTATAAATAATGATAATTCAATAAATATCGATAACTTGATACATTTCTTTAACTTGACAAATTTCGTTAATCCCACACGTTTTTATAGCTCGATAACTATCCGTAAATTTGGACAACTAAGATTCTGTGTCTATCAATTTCGACAACTCAGTAAACATTGATCAGTTTGAATAATTCGATACGTTGCGATAACTTAATAAGCATGGATAAATTTCGATAATTATAAACTTCGATGATTCGATAAATTTCACTACCTTTATGGCTGATTTTATTTCGATTCCTATCTTTTAACCTAATTCTTATGTATTTCTCATTGTCTCCATTTTCGCCTTTATCTCAATTTTCGTCTTTATCTTCACTTTTGCCTTTTTTTGTCTTCATCGTTATCACTTGTTTCTCCATCTTCATATTTATCTTTATTTCAAAGTTTAATTTCAAATACGAAGTAAAACAAAATGCGAAAGGCTTGAATTGAACAGGTTGCAAAAACAATCGTTAACAAATATGGAAATTTTTAAACGACGATTTTCAACCAATTCGAAACTATAAAAACTCTCGTCATCTACAGAAAATTACTTTCCAACGGTGTTTCTGGTTTTGAAATCGGTAACTTTACCTTGGTTTTCATCTTTGTTTTTATCTTTCACATCTTTGCTTATATCCTTTTCTTTTTCTGTTCACGTAGATGAGATGAGGTGCGATGACGTGATAAGATGTGAGTGATATGGATTAAGGATGTCATGTCATGTGTTGTCATATCCTCTGATGTCATGTCATATGATGTCATACCATATGATGTCATATCATGTGATGCCACGTCATGTAATGCCATGTCATGTCATACGATGTCATATCATGTGATCTCGTCATGTGATGTCATGCCATATAATGTGATGTCATATCATATAATGTCATGTCACATGATATCGTGTGATGTGATATCATATTATGTGATGCAAAATCATGTGATGTCTCTTCATATCATGTGATAAAATGTGATGTGATGTCATGTAATGTGATCACATTCCATGTTCCGATTATTGTATCGATAACCCTGTTGATAACTGTGTTGATAAAGGTACCGATAACAATATCCATACACATATAGAAAAATACAACGATTGTAAAATCGATTAATTCAGCGATAAATATAACAATCATCAGTATCAGTATCATAACAATATATGTAAATGACTAAATCGATAACAAAATCAATTATTTAATCGATTATTATACCGATAACAATATCCATTATTGTATCGATAACAATATCGATTATTATATTGATTATTATATCGATTACAATAGCGGTTATTTAATCAATAACAGTATCGATAACAATATCGATTATTTTATCGATAGCAATATCGATTATTATATCGATAAAAATATCGAGTTTTATATCGATAACAATATCGATCTTCATCCTCATCCTTTTCTTCATATTTATCTTTATTTCTGCATATTCCTCTTCACCTTTACCTTAAAGTGTTTAAATTTACCTTGATCTTCGTTTTTGCCTGTATCTCTAGGCATTTTTGTTTTTGATTTTATTCTCAAACCGCTAAACCACTGAGAAGCATTTCCATGTGCATTATTCCCTTGGAATTTGACAATTTACTCCCAACCAACCAACTGCCTAAAGAAGTTTCACTTCATAAATTCAAGAAATGTTCTTACCCGTTCAGTTACCCTAATTCTTATTTATCCGTCAATGTCTCCATTTTCGTTTTTATGTTCACTTTTTTCTTCTTTTTTTTGACTTCATCGTTATCATTTATTTCTTCATATTTATCTTTATTTCAAAGCTTAATTTCAAATGCGAAGTGAAACAACATGCGAAACATCTCAAATTGAACATGTTGCAGCAACATCTATACACAAATCGGAAATGTTTAAACAACGGTTTAAGCCGTAATTTTCAACCAATTTTGAAACCATCTAGAGAAAAAAGCCTTTCCAATGGTGTTTTTGGTTTTGAAATCGGTTCGCTAGGATCGCCAAACGAACAGAGACAAAATTTATGTTAGCGTATTAATATATAGATTATTGTCCAGTTTCATAGTCCTTCAAAGGATCTCCCGAGGACTTTAATATAAAAGTAATGCAGCTCAGTAAATTTGGGTAACCAGCTCCGATGAAAGCTGTTGACCGTCGAGTATAGTTTTTGGCATTCCCTATCTTATATTTTTAAAGTATTTTTACAGATGAAGAAAACAATAGGAAAAAACTAGCTATGGATGGAGTTTTTTCAATATATCTTCGACAAATAGTATTCGATCGTTACGTAACTTTTACCAAATTAAAGGCCTGACTTACAGCTTTTCAACAATGTGACAATGACTTTCCTTATAACTAGACATTGAAAATTTCTGCAAATAAAAACTAAAATAACAATCTTACGCCTCGTCGTGTTTTGTCCTTCGAAACAAAAATGGAGCACATGTGAGCAAATTATTTTTGATTTGATTGCTCAAAGATGGATTTAGTACATATATTTCAAAGAACCAAATATTGGCAAACCTTGACAAGTAAACAAAAATACCAATATTTAAATAACGGATCAAAATGGAGAGATTTTAACTTTTCTAAAAGAAGGCCATACTAAAAGCAATTAACTTATATTTAGTTTTAAATTATAGAAATGACTTTCTTCTGCCATGTTCAAAAGGTTTTTTGTTTAAATAAATAGGTCTTCACCAGGGATGGAATGCAAAATTTCCAAATGTGCCTAATAGTCTTCAAAAATAGTGCCGAAAAGAAGATGAAAGTGCCACAAAATTGAATTTCTTTTAAGGCGTTTTAAGAGCAATATATTTTTAGAAGCAATATTTTTAAAATACACTGAATTAATATAATAATTATTAGTTAACTAAATTATTGCAGTAAATTACTTTTATGAAGGATTCCTTAGACATATACATAAATTCATAGTAAAATTACACAGAATTCCAATTACGGATGGGAAATACACCGAAATATAGCTATTCTGACATTTTTACACACGTATGTATGTACCTATATGCGAAATAATGGAAATGAGGCATTTTGACCAGTCTCGTCTATTTTTTTCATTGACTATTTTTGATTGATTTTATATAAAAGTCTAACTCATAATTTATAAACACAATAAATGTACACAAACCGGCATTTCAAACTTTGTACAAAAATTATAAAAACTCAGAAGGTTTTCGCAACAACAAGTTTTGAATTCAGAATTTTTAGGGAGAATCCAAGTTTTCGATTTTATGCCTATTTTCCAATATAAAGTGTGTTCGAAAATTTTGTAAATGCATGAAAATGTATGACACTGTCAGAAAAACAAATCAAAAATCATCGGGGTATTGCAGAAACTTACACTTTTATTTAATGGCCTATAAAACTGCAATCTTAGAATCCTTCTAAAAATTCTGATTTAAAAGCTTGTTGTTGCGGAAACTTCCTTTCCTACTGCGTATTCATAAAAGAATTCCGCGGTTTGTAAATATTTCTCACGGCCTTTATTGCAATTTTTTAGTGCTTTTAATTTGCACTTTTTGTAATTTTTTAATCTATAACGTGGTATGTGATTTTTTCTTATATATTAGCATTTTATGCTAAATTTCTATATTCTATGATTGTGCCAAAACATGGTGAATTGTGGCAAAAGTGCCTCTGAGAATGATAGTACCAAAAATGGCAATATTGTGCCTACTTTCCATCACTGGTCTTCACTAAGACACAATTACCGAAGAAACAAGGAGAACGACTGAAAGCTTGGAGAACAAAAGAAAAAAAACGATCACAACATTGACTGTTTTTATGTTGACGTATGTCCAAAGGAAAGCAGCGGAGGAGTTTTCATGGCTACCTTTCAATAGACAGTATAGACAGTGTGCCAAGTAATAGTTGCGTTCCTTATCTCCCAGAAATAGTCAGAAAAAGTCCGAAGTAGTCATATTTAGTCCAAAAAGCGTTCCTTAACTTGAAAATGACAGCAAAAATGAGAGAGCAACACTCAGTGAGAGTGACTCTCTTCAGTCCGAAGTAGTCAGATTTAAGCTGAAATTAGTCAAGAACGTAAACCTACCGGTACGTAAACCCGAGTCAGCTGACACGATCTGTCTTACCAAAGCGCCATGTAAATGAAAACTCAACACCGCAGAATTTTTCTGTAGTTGTAGCCCGTAGCGCAGAAATCTGCGGAATTTA